CTTGCCACACTCCTCGCACTTGAAGGGCCTCTCCCGGGTGTGGACGCTCTGGTGAAGCTGCAGCGAGGAGCTCTGGCTGAAGCTCTTCCCGCACTCCTCACACGTGTACGGCTTCTCCCCCGTGTGCACCCTCAGGTGGCCCTGCAGGTGCGAGCTCTGGCTGTAGCTCTTGCCGCAGATGTCACACCTGTAGGGCTTCTCCCCCGTGTGCACCCGCTTGTGGCTCAGGAAACCTGAGCTAAACATGAAGCCCTTCCCGCACACGGAGCAGGTGAAGGGCTTCTCGCCCGTGTGCAGCCTCTGATGGGTGCGGAGGTTGGAACTGTAACTGAAACCCTTGCCACACACGTCACACGTGTAGGGCTTCTTTCCCGTGTGCACACGCTGATGTTTGTGAAGGTTCGAGGTGCATCGGAAGCCCTTGCCACACTCTTCGCATTTATAGGGCTTCTCGCCCGTGTGGATTCTCTGGTGCGTGAGCAGCGCTGAGCTGTAGCTGAAAGTTTTGCCACACTCACCGCATTTGAAGGGTTTCTCGCCAGTATGAACCCTCTGATGGATGAGGAGGTCCGAGCTGAAGATGAAGCCTTTGCCACACACATCACACAAGTAGGGCCTCTCCCCGGTGTGGACTTTCTTGTGACTGTGGAGGTCGGAAACCCGCCAGAAGCCCTTGCCACACTCGAGGCACATGAAGGGCTTGTCCCCTATGTGGACCCTCTGGTGGACCTGGAGGTCCCAGCTGCGGCTGTAGCCCTTCCCGCACTCACACTTGAAGAGTTTCTTGGCCGTGTGCAGCTTCTGGTGCATGAGGAGCCCGGCAGTGTAAATGAAGCTCTCGCCACACACATCACACTCATAGAGGCCTTGCCCTGTGTGGATCTGCTGGTGAGCCTGAAGGTACGAGTAGTGCCGGAAACTTTTTCCGCACTCCTCACACTGGTAGGGCTTCTCTTCTGGGTTTGTTTTCTGGTGAACGTCAAAGTGTGGGCCGAACGCCAGTTCCTTTCCACAATCCACGAATCCCTCAGGTCCTTCCCCAGGGGGGACATGCAGGGTGGGCTTGGCTCCCAACCCTTTGTCACTGTCACTGCATGTGTAGGGCATCTCCCCCGTATGGGCCATGAGAAGGTCAACACTTGGCCCGATGCCCTGACCACAAGCAACTCTTGTAAGCGGCACCCCTCCTAAGGGGACACTTTGATGCTTATTGGGACAAACAGCCTGCCTCACATCTCCCTGACACTCGTAGGGTTTCTCGTCCAAGTGCACTTGTGGGTGAGGAGGAAGGTCTGATTCATCCCTGAAGCCATGTCCACCGTCCTGATTTTTAAAGCTATTCCCCCTGGAGTTAGGGTGATACGCTATTGCCTTGTCAGAGTGACTTCTATGCTCATCACCACTGTACAGTTTCTCACCTTCAGGTAATCTCCTGCCATCACGGCAATGTGGCATCCAGCTGAACGTGTAGTCACTCCAACCACATTTATAAAGTGTATCTTCCATGTGGATTTCTTCACAGTCTCCTTGAACTTTCCACAGCCTGTTCACCAGGGCCCCAGACTGCTGAGTGGGAACAGCTTCCCACTCTGGACACCGTGGATCCTCTGCGTTGGTGGAAACAATCCTTTCAAGACCATCCACCAAGCTCTCAGTCTGGAAACCCCGAGGAGATTTGTCTTTCCTCCTTTGACAATGGGGAGCATCTTCTGAAAACGAGGGATCTTTCCCTGGAGGAGTCCCTCGATGCTCGGGACCCCCACTTAGCTCTCCAGTCACCTGCTCCCAGAT